TGTGTTCAGTCACTAACTACACCTCCATTATATATTAACTCCTAGTACTATATTTTTACTGACCAATTATTTCTTATAACATTTTTATATAGATCTATTCCATTGGTACTTAACAACAGTTTCGATTTTGGTTGTCCATCTCAACATTGTATTTTAAAGTTAAACAAATATCATGTAAATGATGTTGTTAATAATAATATTTATGAACTTCAAAAAAATTAGCCTGAGATGATGTAAGTAATTTATAGGTTCATCCACATATGCAAGATTTTTAGTGATTCATCAATTAAAGTCATTTTGTGTTGAAAACTCTACATCTAAGTAAAAGCAATAATTATGTAACTTAGAGATAAATCCCGAAAGTTCTAGTAAGAAATCATGACTGATGAAATTCAAGTATTTCAGGAATGAGACTAGTATCACTGATAACTTAACTCCTCCTGTAGCCCTTCTAAGGTAACTTCCATTCTCAAGCAGGGATAAAGGAGGAAGGTTGGAGTTAGCAACCTCACTATATAGAAAAAAACGCTGACCATAAAAAGTCACCGATAAAATGGGTATATTATTGTATTGAGTCATGAATCAATGAAGTTAAGAATATAAACTATCATACACTTCCTCAGAAAGCTCATCTTGAGCACATAATGTTCATTTGTTCAATCATCAATGGGATAACGTTTATAATCCTGAGTAATGGTGAACCAATCCAAAATATCTGTCTAGTCCTTTTTTGACTTTCAGTGATTCACTAACTGAAGTCAGTTTATGATTAAACTATCTTATGATTAAAGTATTTTGTATTCCATTTACTTTTCCTAACACTAAAACTTAAATTTCCTTTATAACAAGAAAATTCTCATTTAAGTTACTTATTGTAACCGAAACCATTAAATCGTTATTATAAAACAACAATTAAATGTTAAAATCAAGGGTAAGTTGAAGCTAGACCACCACAGAAAATCTGAAAGCACTGGACGGCCGTTTCGTTTTAGTATGGGACTCCTCAGCAGTGCGCATCCACGATTTCATCCATGATTTCAACTATTGATATTACTAAAATCTCCACAAAACCCCTTGTGACAATTAAATATTAATCAACTGATAATATGAAATAATATGATTTTGTCTGAGAATAGTAATTTATAAGATTACATCCAAAGAATCACTGCATCCATTGATGTATACAGGCAAATAGACGAGCTGAAAATCTCTAGAAGTTTATAGTAACCAAGAACAGAACAAACACATGGATATTAAAGTAGTAAGAATTAAACATTGTGGAGTTCAGTATAAATGTAGAATTTTTTTCAATATGTAACAATTAATATTTAACCTAGTGAGAGAAAATTGTAAGAAGAAAAGAGAAAGTAAAAAGAAAAGAAAGTGGGAATAAATAATGATGACGACCAGTGTTGATGCAAATATGATTAGAAATGGTTAGATACATGATCAAATGACGTCAAGTAGTATAAGAACGTCATTAAAGTTTAATAAATTGAAAGTTTTGGATAGTTAATTAGTTTTCTGCTTCTTTTTTTACAACAATCTTGTAATTGGTCATTAAAGTTGTTATTGATTTCTTGAACATATCTAACATGGTTACAAGCACGAAAATGATTCTAAAGTAGTACAAAGAAATTATTTTTGAAAAAAACCTTAAATTTTCGTAATTTTAGGTTCACATATATTTTTTCTAAATTGATTGTATTGGTTTTTACTTCGTGTTAACTTTATACTAACCTGTATAATTTTATCTCACTGTTCCAATGTGTGATGTTAACTTGAACCGATGTGTCAAGTATTATGTTCCATATGATTGATAGACTAATCTGTTACTGAGTAGCTAACAAGGTTATGTTTTCCGGACCTCATATTTGGCTGATTCCTATTAAATTCGTTTGAAATAAAGTCACATTTCAGTATGATTCGGAATCTCAATGTACTTTGACTAAAACTATAGAGTTAGAGGTAAAACTGACTATTATAAACAAGTCAGCTTAGTGGTAACGTCTATGACTATGATACTTAAGGAGGTTTATTCAAACCTATAAAGTCGCAGGGCCCTCTTGTCAGTCCAAGCCAATCAGTACAAAAATTAGATCTACAGTTAGCCCATGTCTGACTGTCATAATCTGAGATTTTCTATTCTTGTCCAGTTAAGCTCATCAAGCTCGCATTGACTTCATTCCATTTAAGTGTTTTTTGATAAAAAAAATAAAGTAAAATCCATCAAATTCGTAACTAAGAGTTCTTACTAAACACCTTAAGGAATAAAATCTTTTATGGACTCTTTAAAATTTGAATACAGTTTGCTTATTACCAGCAAAATCGTTTACAATTACATTAACCACTATATTCATTATTAAAACGTTTATTATTCTGGTAATCAGTCACCGAAATATTTATATGTAAATTAAAATACATTTGTTTAGGCATTTTTATTGGAGGTATCTTTTAAATTTAATCGTCAGAATTTTCTTCATGCATCATAATATAGTCTACAGGTAATTTTAACTCTCTTAGTACAATTTGAAACAATACTTTGCCAATGTTCTTTATGTGTGACAGAAACGTCGCAGAATCGCGAATGATTTTAAGCATACATTCCTGAAAGGAATAACAGCGTGGTTGGATCAAATCTTTTAGCTAACTTAAAAATTCCATAATGTGGTCCTTATAAAATTCGAGTAAATATTGTCATTTTAATTATATAATGATAATAATAATGTTTTACTAGTAATATCCCAGGTTAATTTGAAGAATATCATTCCTTCTTTAAAGAAGCAACTTACATTAACTCATGAGTCATCAGAAATTAAATTTTCTATTCACTGAGTTATTATGAATAACATTACTATTGTATTAACGTAAATAGTAATAGTCAATATATTTAAACCATCTTGATATAACACTACGTAGATCTATCAATGAGACTAACCGTTTCCAATTCATTAAGACAATAGCGACTCACGTGCAAATGAGTTTAGTCTCATCTAACGCAGTTAAGCCCTTTTGCTAACTCCTTTAGCGGACAAAGTCATCCGCACTATAACAACTTATTGTACCCTTATTATTTTGTGCTTGTATGAAATACGTATGCTTGAATATTGCTTACGGCCTACGCATTTATTCACTCTGCTACTCTTACTACTAACTGATTATTTGATTCGATTACTCATTCATTTCACATGCTATATATATGTCCATGTTATTCATACTCACACACTCACACACTCTCGTCTCGCTCTTGCTCTGGCTCTTGCTCGCTTGCTTGCCTTTCGGCACAACTCTTCTATGCTTGTTTAACGCATCTGTACATTTGGATATATGTGTGTGGTCTCGTAATAAACGTATTCAACACTTCGTATTTGCCTTCTGGTTAATAAACCGTTGGGACGTTATATAGAACGGTTATCAAGACGAACTGTATACGAAGTTTAATGATTATATCGAATACCGACCACCACAAGTCAGATGTTGTTAACAACCTATACAAATTCTATTGTGATCCATGCAAATAAGGAACAATTATTTTGCCACTTACTACATATATATATTGAGAATTTATGTTCATTTTATTGAAACGTTTTGTAGTCAAGATGCAACGAGTAAACGAAAGTTCTTAGAAATGTGTGATATTCGTAAATTCCTCGATGCACTCTGAAGTGAATAATCCTGAAAACAGGCTGGACAGTGAGCTCATCCGCTACTATAAAAAGAATCGTAGAAAATAAACGTTAAAACGGCAGTGCAAAAGATTGTGAATACCAAAGCATATGAATTGAATGTAAAGATCTACATAAATATAGACTACTCTTGGAATAAACGAATGTTAGTACTAACTCCTCATATATTTATTGGGTAATAAAATCCATAAAGCTCTCAACAATTTGGTTTTATTGTTTATTACACAACATGAGGACCAAGTAGATCATGAAGTTATATTAATTTAAACACCTAGACGTTCCACTGTTCAATACAGGAACATTTGAAATGCATTGCCGACATAGAATAGGAAATTCAATAACCCTACCCTCTGGTTTAATGATTTTTTGTAACTGCAGGTCATCAGATGAGTTTTGGCGCCTATATTCAGTTGCTACAAAAGTACACCAACGGTGGATTTATACTCATTGCTGTGACGTCAACCTAATGTATCTCAAACCAGAACAATGATCATATCCACGTTAATGTAGTCATCTTATTCGTCATACTAAGATGTAATTTTTATTAAAAAGCTAGATTATGCTTTGAAGTTTGCTATGGCTGTAATTTTTATTTGCCAAATGTGACTGAATTACGCCGACATGCATTGCATATTGTAATGATATTCCAAGTCCTTTTAAGTAGACCTTCATTGAATATTGTTACTGAGGAAAGGTTTATTGCGCTGTAAACTATGTTCTCATGCGTAAATGACCGTTATCTCTAGTCTCTGAACAATATCGTTTGTTCTCTGTTAGGCAAGACTTACTGGCGTTTAGTTCTTGTTTTGGGTTTATACACTTTCTCAATTATACTGCTTAAATTAGAGCAAAACATGGCATTACAGCCGGTTGCCTTTAATCAATGAAAAATGAGCATAACAACACATATTCTTCCTTCTACTCTTTGACCACGGCCCATCGGCCTTCTTTTATGATCGAAACAACAAACATATACTACATATTGGTATCATATTTCCTACCTTTCAATGTTGAGCGTGGCATACTTTTAATGACAAACCTTCTTCAATAGATTGATAACATCTCTGACTTGGTCCCAGGTTGTCAGATGCCTGAGTTTCATAATCCTTTCGAAAACATCACTGGCATGCACAACTACTGGACGCTCAGTACTAGTTCAACTCCTTGATTGTATAGGGTTATCTATAATACTGCATAAAACAACAAGCCGGGGTTCATTTTCTTAGCACAATAATGTGCTTTTCAGATTTGTTTTTTTAACTGACCAATTCAGCCTCAAGGCTACTGAACTAGTCACAAAATCGAACCTGTGCGATGCAGGTTCCTTTTGTGGAATTCGTATGTGGGGATTTGGATCCTAGTCCATGGCACGATGGAGTTGTTGGTGTTTGCTGGTTTGAAGTATACGTTTATATCCCTTTGACTTTATTGTGTACAATCATCTCATTCATTTATTGCGTTATCCTGTGGCGGCACTTAGCATTTGACAGTTTTTATTGTTCAGTCTTCTATTTTCGAGTGGCCATAGATATAACAATCGTTACCAGCAATGGTGTGATTATCGTTCTTGGGTTTCTTCTTCCATACTACGAGGAGGGGTTTTCTATTAACTCTCGTTTTTTTGCAATTCACAGTTTCATAACAGTAATACTCTGGATTACAACACTAATCCTTGATTATCTCCATGGTAAAGCCCTCAAATATTCTTCAAGGGGTTCTCGGATTCATCTTTCGTTTTCAATAATATACTTCTTTTGCCTAGCTATAAACTGTTGGTCTTTTCGTAGAGAAGTGGATGTGCTATGGAGACCATATGTTATTGTTAATTGCTATATTCAATTACTCCTGTTATGTCTGCATTTACTTTCCAAGGTCCCAGTGTTCTACCCCTCGGAAGAGCCTAGGCGCAGAAGGGCTAGGATCTTAAGACAAAATTCCAATAGCATCCAGTTGTCTACAAGTTATCAGTCAAATGAAATTACACAGAGACCCACTTCGCAAAATGTTAATGACCGTGAAGATTCGGCTTCATGGTTTTCAAAGTTATGTTTCTGTTGGGTTAATAATCTAGTGCGTAGTGGTTATTACGGAGAATTGTATTCACTCACAAATCTACCTTTGGTCCCTAAACGTCTGAATACATACACTTTGGAGTCAAAAGTCCCTAAATTAAAGTTGAAATCTGTAACTATTGATGAAACGATTAGACAAAGTCATGATATTTCTAACAAAGGGTGTTCTATCAAAGCTTGTGTTCCATTTTTAAAAGCAAGTTATGAAGCATTCGGTCGTGAATTCCTGTATCTCGGTTTGCTCAAACTTTTACTTAGTGGCTTCGGTTTATGTGGTCCAGTAGTTTTAAATCATTTCATTCTAAACGTGACAAACTCCGAAACTCCCTCATGGTCTTGCATTCTTGTTGGGTTCGGACTAGTTTTTTTGTCATTGAAGATAGCAGTTTTGAGCACATCTTACAATTACAAAATGGCAAGTTTCGGCTTCAAAGTTAGAGTCAGTGTAACTGGGATGGTTTACAGGAAAATTTTATCCCTTAAAACTTCGTCACTTAATTGTATTGGAACAGGATGTTTGGTTAATTATCTGACTTCTGATGCTGATAGAATAGTCAATTTCGCACCTAGTATTCACGAAGTATGGGCAATGCCTCTGCAGTTATCTGTCGCAGTCGGACTACTTTACCACCAACTCGGGCTTGCCTGTTTAGTAGGCATTGGGTTTCTACTTGTGTTACTTCCTCTGAATCGTATTTTAGCAACAAAAATCGGGAAATTTAGTCGCCGTTTGATGATGTTTAAGGATACACGGATTAAGGTGAGTGTTTCAATTTCTCATGTGTCCTAACTGTACTCGTTTTCTATATTGCTTTGAAGTGATCGACCAACCCAAAGCAATTGAGGCTGTCTAAATATCAGTTGCCTGCTTTCTGTTACGAGCTTACTGCATAATTATAAACACCAATTAATAATTCACGATTACAAATAACTTTTTCAGTTATTTCGTACTTGTTTCCTTAAAACCCCCTAGTTTCTGTTCTGTATGAAACCCCGGTTGCCTTAAAATTTGTCTTCTGTCGGGGAGATAATCTGAAAAATAAGTTGTAAGTTCACTTGTAAAAGGATTGTAAATGGTTCCCTTTTACCAAATTTTACCATAATATAAAAATAGTAGTATCTTGAATGTTTCTACCCTATGCATTACCGCTTCTTTTGACTAAGATGTTCAGATATAGTTCACTACTAGTTAGCAACGTATCTAGGTAACACCAAATAACTTATTTTATCCTTGGAAAACATAGTCAAGGAGACATTTTTGTATTCGCGCGACATCTTTACTTGTCAATAAAATATGACTAAAAGTCATAGAGGGCTTCGAACTTCTGTCTTGCTGTCCCTAATCTCGTTATTCATGTAACTTGTCATCACTAATCGTTTATCTTAAAATCGGTCAATGATGCTTCCATGATCGCGACTAATCTTTTCTGTTAAAAGAGACTAAACCACCAAGTAACGCACTTGTGTTGCAATGAGTAATGTTGTGATTAGATTCAAAAAAGTATCATATGGGATGTTTTTCCATGTCTTCCCGAGATTAAAAAACAATTTGTAGGTAAACATGCACTTTGTTCAAATATGTCAAACTTTTATCCCATAAACAAGGTCTTCCAAAATTGCTTTGTGTTCTCCCCAATGGAAAACTTAAGCAGTCATTTTACCTATAGTTTCATTTACCTAAACAATTTCTCTAAACGATTAGCATCCCTGATTTGGTAATATTAAGTTCGTTTACTTGATTATTTTCAATGTATTGACCAAACTGAGCATATTTCTGCATGATAAATATTAACCCTGTGTATCTCTCCCTTGAAGTTGTAAACTGTGCAGTTAACCCATACATTTCTGTGTGAAAATCTTTAGTTATAAATTCAATCAGTAAAGCTGATGCTCATGTATAAAAATTTATATGCAAAATTTCTCAATTCTCATTTTATAAATTTTCTTGTGATATAATTTTGATACTAAATCTTACTGTGGTAATAAACATTATGATTGCTTTCTTTTCGAAAATTTAGTTGATGTCTGAAATTCTATCAAATACGCTTTCAGTGAAACTAGCATGTTGGGAGAATTTAATGAAAAATCGTGTCATGCATTCTCGCATTCAGGAGTTGAACGCTCTACGTGGTCAAAAGTTGCTGGACGCTTGTTGTGTATTCTTTTGGGCTGTCTGTCCTGCATTGTTAGCCAGTTCAACATTCGCAACTTATGTGGCTATCGGTAACGAATTAAAAGCTTCCGCGGTAAATATTCAGTTGCATTTATGTTATCTTGATGTTTTTAACTTAATCACTTATTGGTCTTAAAGACAGCCTAGTATACATGATATATGTTAGGGTACATACCCAATTTAGATGCTAAGGCTTTTTTCGACGTTTCCTTCCCTTAATAATATCTACGTGTTTAATTTCAACACATCTGAATATATATATGGGAAAGTAGACTTCCTATGCTCGGTTGGACATAACCACTGGGAGACGCTTTTCTTGCCAATCTATTATGCCACACCTGTCTTAAATAAGTGTCATCAACTTTTACGTTCCAAAAAGTAGATGCAACTTTTTAATGATTTGGTATCCCTGTATCTAATTTTCAGTACACTAGTTGTTGAAAAAATATATTTGTTTAAATCAGGTTATCTTCAGCGACTTCAGTTAATAATGCTCAATTTTCTGATTATAGTAGGTGAATGTTTTCAGTGTCAACTGACACTAATTACCGTCTATGAATTTCAGTAGAATAATCATTTTGAAATACATATCATATATTCGTTAAAAAAGGATAAAGTTTCTCACTGTTGTTTCTTAAAAACTCTACTTATCTGGCATATGGTTTTATTGAAAATTATTGGTGGTAAATTTTCAGTTGTGTACATGACTCAATGGTTAACTAAGTTGCATCGAATACCTTGGATTTTTTAAATTACTGTCATAGTCACTTGTCAGCATCCTCAAAATGATTTTCCGGTCTTATGTATTCCATACCATTTTCTATGGAATAAATTTCCCCTTAAATTTATCATTTTGGATCTTTTAAACTGATTCACACTGATATTGGTTTGTAAATTAATATCTGCTTATTATTTGAATACTAAATTACACTCTCTGTCTTCCCTTAAACTAAGAGATTAAAGTCGCTTCATATCTTTTTTTCTACGAACTAATTCTTTCTTCCTGTACTATATCCTTACTGCAATCTTTCTTTTATATATTACCACAACTGAATTAACTATTTTTATGAATCCGATGTTTATCTTGTTGTGTTAATGAGGTATGGCAACTTGGACCGATGCATATATGTGCCTGGTCCTACGTTGTAGCTGACTGACTGAATACTAAATACTCGTCTTTTAAATATCCATTTAAATCTGTACATCCACTCAGTATCATCTTGTTCTTTTTAAGGTATTTTCTAGTCTTGCATTATTTGGAATGTTGATTGGTCCGATGAATGCTTTTCCTTGGGTTATTAATGGTGTTATGGAAGCAACTATTTCCATGCAGCGTATTACAAAACTCTTCTATTTATCATCTGGTTCATTTTCATTAGAATTAACTGATACGCCGCTCTCTGATGTTGGAATTCCAACAGATATTCCGATTGTTTGTTCTTTTGCCGAAAAATCTACCATCAGCATGCCAGTAAACATTATGAATGAATCATTCTATTATACTAACTGCGATAATTTAGTTTTGAAAAATATCACTCTCCAGGTGCAGTGGGTGAGTTAAAAGTTATTAGTTGATTATATAGCACCACTAAAATTCGAATCCCACTTTTGTAAGGGTTTAGATTTTCATGTTGTTGTCATTTAGGAATGAATGATTATCAGCTTCTGTTGGGATATTTCAACCCAAAGGGGATACCTCAGTATCCCCCGTAGTTGTTTTGTTGTATTTTTGGGTTGTTGCCATCAGAGGTTACTTGCTTTTCCATGTACAGAACAATAGTTCATTTTATTGTACTAAGTGGCTGTAAAATGTGTTCGTTGATAACAGACTACTTAAGCTTACTGGTACTGAATTAATCAGGATCTTCGAAGTTTAAGTAATTTTGTTAGAACCAACATGCGCGTATTTGTAAAAGTTGAAAGCCAATCTATTGATGTAATGTTTTGGCTCCTGTCTACCTAAAGTTGATGTTTCCTAAATTATTATCGAGCTACCAAGCGAACTACTAGGGTCAGACAAAAATATGAACTCGAAGTTTTTAGTTGGTAATTGGAGTACCGAATAAGAAGTATATTTCATTGGTATATCAGTTTATATTGGCGCATCATAGTATCATACTCTATGTCAATTTAATTACCCATTCCACATAATTATTCTTCTTAACAATTCTATTACATGATCACTTACAGGGACAATTAATCGGTGTAATTGGACCAGTTGGTTCCGGGAAATCATCTTTACTTCTAAGTATATTGGGTGAACTACAATCGGTTGTTTCAGAAGACGAACTTAGAAATGAAAGTATGAAAACGAATCCACGACTTCGATATGCTTATGTGGGACAAACTCCTTGGCTTCATTCTGGAACTATACGCGAAAATATTTTATTTGGCTCAGATTGTGATTTAGCATGGATGAATACTGTAATTGAAGCGTGTGCCTTAAAAGTTGATCTGGGTAAACTTCCGAATGGTTTAGACACAGATGTTGGTGAAGCTGGCGGAAACAGTCTTAGTGGAGGTCAACGGGCTCGTGTTGCTCTTGCTCGAGCTGTTTATCAAAAGGCCGATGTTTATCTTTTAGATGACCCATTATCTGCACTTGATGTTGATGTTGGTCAACAGATTATCACCAATTGTTTACTTGGTCTTTTATCAGGAAGAACTAGAATTATCGTCACACACCAGCTGGATTGGTTAATGAACACTGTAAGTAAAGATACGTTTCTCCAAGCAACTATGTATAGTATCATTTGTTTGTTTACCTTATATATTTCTCTCGAATTTGTCTTAATGTTCTTTTTATCTTTTTAGAAAATTGTAAATAAACGTGCTCAAGTGGATTTTATTGTTGAATTAAAAGATGGAATAATTACTCGAAAAATTCCAGGTAATCTTTACCCTGACAATGATGATAACGATCATATGCATCAACCCGTTCTTGACATCAACAGTAGTCCTCCTTATAATGAACCCACATTATCCAGTGATAATCATCATGACAGTAGTGAAAACAATAATAATTCGACGTTGGAAAATGATGATGTTCCGTTAATTACTATTAAAGAATACAGCAGTGTCAATCAATCCGAATTCAGTCCGAATTGTGTAATCGATAATAATAACAATAACAATGTGCATATAAATATGGAACATATGGCAGTCGGTTCCATTAGTCCCCATGTCTACAAATCGTATATTCATTCTGTTGGCTACTTTTTAACATTCTCCATTATTTTGTCTTTATTGTTAATGCAAGGTATGTGTTAATTGCGTTAGTTCGTAATTAGGCTATTTAGTTTGTCGTGCGCAAATAAATTCGATAAGTTATTTCATTCATCATCATTATTCTACACTGATGACCAGCTAAGTGATTGATATCATAGAGGAACATTTTTAAACATTTATAACAGATGCCAACTGAAATCGTTAACGTCACCTGAAGTATTTATTGGTCTCGCTTCCCTGTCTAACCCAGCCAGTTGAGTCCAGAACGAAGTCACAGCCTCGGATATATGAATCATTATATTTCAAACATGCTTTGTTTATATACCATTCAAGCAGTCCACAACGTACCATAAAATAGAAGATAACATTGTACAGTAATGGCCAACAGGAAAATAACACGTTCAATAAATATTGACCAATAAGATGTTACCATTTCATGTCCAAGGATAGCATTAGGATTAGCAGAATAATCTTTGGGATATTTTCCTGAATATCCCAACAGTATTTATTGCAAATTAGACCCAGTTGTTTAGACCTAAATTAGAATTTTTATCAAAAACTGTCAATTTCTCACCTTTCGTTTTTGATACTAAGGTATAACTAAATAACCGTGTGCACGACTTTCAGTCTTACAGGTCATTAGCCATAGTATATCTATAGCTTTTGGTTTGCAAGGTTAGTTAGCCGTAAGTCTTAGAAATATGAACGAAAGTAATTGTCAGAATTCGGAGTTTATGTGAAAACTGAGTAAATTAATCGATGCACATATCTACTGAGTTGTTTTGTTTAAGGATTTATACTAGTTAGAGATGGCTTTTTTCTTCCCATAAATTGAAGATTGATTAACATCACAGTTTTACGAAAGTTAGTGATATATAGACCGGTCTTCGCTGCGAACGTTTTCTCGTGATCTGGCCAGTATAAGAAAGCATAAACCTCCTGTCTTAGACTCCTTACTGGTTGACCCCAGTAAGTGATATACCTCGAAATCAATCTCCCTTACTTAATTACGCCTGTGACTCCCAATGGAACATGAACCTCCGGCCAGCATTCTCCATTCCACTCTGTCCTGGACCTTCCTTTCTAGTTCTAGACAATTTTCGTTCATTCTTATCACGTCTGTCTGTCTCAATTTCTCCGAGTAATGTGTTCTTTGGTCTTCCTCTCCTGCTTTGGCACTGAGGGTTCCATGTGATGGCTTGCCTTGGGACGCAGTTGGGTGCATTCCACAATGTGTGTTCTATCCACTTCCAGTGCTTCTTCCTGATTTCTTCCTCTGCTGAGATCTGGTTTGTTCTCCCACAGTAGGTTGTTGCTAATAGTGTTTGCCAACAGATCCGAAGTATTTTGCGTAGACAAGTGTTAATAAACACTTGTATCTTGTGGATGATGGCTTCCGTAGTTCTGCAAGTTTCCGCTCCATACAGTCGAACTGTCTTGACATTTGTATTGAAAATCCTGACCTTAGTGTTGGTTGACAGTTGTTTTGAGTCCCAAATGTTCTTCAGTTGTATATATGGCTGCCCTTGCTTTGCCGACTCACGCCTTCACACCTGCATCGGATTCACCGTGTTCATCAATTATACTGCCTAGATATGTAGATGTTTTTACATCTTCCAAATCTTCTCCGTCAATTGTGATTGGATTGTTGCATGTTGTGTTGTATCGGAGAATCTTGCTTTTCGCTTTGTGTATGTTGAAACTTACTGCTGTTAAGTCTGCTGCTAACCTTGTCGTCTTCTCTTACATTTGTTGTTGCGTTTGTGATAGAAGGGCCAGATCATGTGCGAAGTCTAAATCGTCCAACTGCATTCTAGATGTCCATTGTATCCCGTGTTTCCCTTCAGATGTTGACGTCTTCATGATCCAGTAGATCACCAGGAGAAAGAGAAAGGGTCACAGTAAGCAACCTTGCTTGACACCAGTCTTTACTTCGAACGAGTTTGTCAACTGTCCTACACTCACGATTTTGCAGTTTATTTCATCATTGTAATTCTGTATGATATTGACTATCTTCTGAGGCACGCCGTAGTATCGAAGAAGTTTCCATAGTGTTGTTCTGTCCACGCTATCAAATGCCTTTTCGTAGTCGATGAAGTTGATGTAGAGTGATGAATTCCATTCAATTGATTGTTTCACAATGATCCGTAGAGTTGCGATTTGGTCGGTACACGATCGATCCTTACAGAATTCAGCCTGTTGGTCTCGAAATTGGGCGTCTACGGAGTCCTTCATTCTGTTTAACAATACCCTGTTGAAAACTTTTCCGGGTATTGAGAGAAGAGTGATGCCTCTGTAGTTATCATAGTTGCTGAGATCGCCTTTCTTTGGTATTTTGACCAGAAGTCCCTCTTTCCAGTCTTTTGGTACTTGTTCCTCATCCCAAATCTTATTGAAGAGAATGTGGAGTATCCTTGCAGTTACCGCTACGTCTGCTTTCAGTGCCTCTGCTGGAATGTTATCTGGTCCTGCTACTTTGTCACTCTTGATTTGTCTGATGGCCATGCCAATCTCGTCAATTGTTGGTGGGCCGACATCGATTGCGAGGTCTGTGGGTGCTACTTCGATGTTGGGTGGGTCCATTGGAGCTGGTCGATTCAAGAGTTTTTTGAAGTTTTCTACCTACTTGTTTCGCTGTTCTTCGATGTTGGTGATTACTTTGCTCTCCTTGCTTTTCACCAGTCGTTCTGGTTTACGATAATTTCCAGCGAGTTGCTTTGTTGTGTCATACAATTGTCTCATGTTTCCTTCTCTTGCAGCCTTTTCCGCCGTCGTTGCTAAATCTTCCACATATTTACGTTTGTCGGTTCTGATGCTCCTCTTCACTTGCTTGTTTACTTCTGTGTATTCAGCTTGTGCCTTGGCTTTCTCTGCTCTTGTTCGGCTGGTGTTGATTGCCGCTTTCTTGTTCCTCCTTTCTTGAATCTTATCCAGTGTGTCAACAGCGATCCATTCCTTGTGATGGTGCTTCTTGTGACCCAGAACCTCGTGACATGTTGAAGTGATTGCCTCTTTTAACACTTCCCCTGTAGCTAGTCGTTGTTGTCTAACTTGCGTCCAATGTTTCACTAATCCCAAGCACCTCCATGTTGTATCTCCTTATTTTCGCAGCAATTTGGAAGACTCTCGGTCTTCCACATTGTACGAGCATTCCGTTTACTTAAATAAATGGTTGCTCTGGTTGTCAGAAAAAGCATCCGCTCATGACTTCCGAAGGAACTCGGCTTTCATCATGAGGCGTCATAACTTTTCTAAATGAAGACCTTCTGGCTCCTAGGGCAGAGTTTAAATGGTTTGAAAAAGTTTTTCTGGTTAGCGTTTTTTTAGCGAGTTAGTTTTCTACGAGATGCGTTCGCTAACCCCGCGCCCAACCCCCTTCCTTTATCCGGGCTTGGGACCGGCAGTAGCACCCGGAGGTGCTCCAGGAGGAGTTAAACCAATCTCCCTACTTTTATTGATTTTCTCTGTGCTACATTTATGGTGTCGTGACTTCAACTATTATGTTATCCTGTTACATTCTACGGTATATTGTTTATGTCTGCCGAAAGAGTACTGCATTTATTTTCATACTATTACTTAGTTAACTACCTACAAATGTATACTGCATGATGTGTCGCTACTGTTTATCCATTTATGTACATATGTTTGTTTATTTTAGTTCAATTAAGTTTTTAATGCATAGATTTTATTGTAGAAAACCAATTATATGTTATTTGTTCATTAACCCAAACATATTCATTGTTCAGATAAACTAAACAAACTCGTATTGAAAATATTTCGGTTAACTGATACACCCTTATTTTTGCAAATAATTCAGTATTTATAATCAGACCAGTGTATCAGTATACTGGTTTAGAAAATGACAGTTATTTACTGACAATTACTTCAAATCTTCCATTCTTATAAATATTTAATTAGTTTTACTTTGAATGGAACATGTAACTGCTTTTGTCGCGATAATAGTACTTTATACTATATTAAAACTCTTATTATATATACATAACATATATTTACAAAATACTGAATAAATTAACTAACTGCTAACGTCACTGAGCCTCTCATCTATAGGTTACAGGTTCGAACCCAGCCTTATACAAATGCGTGCTATTACCACTGATATTAAAATTAGCGGAAGGTTTTTGATCGATAGTCACATTTATATCGTCTTTACAGAAAAGTGATTTACTTAAGTTATAATACCCTTTTTGGTATATATACCGCTGCTGCATATCTTAAATCTTCATTTTGTTGTGAATTCCCCCTTTTAATAATAGGTACTCGAAATGCATCTGATTGGTGGTTATCATACTGGGTACAAAATGGGAATTTATCTGCAGTAGTTTCATCATTTCAAGACTCATCTTACCAAATAGAATTATTCCCAGATAATCATACGAAAAATAAATATCTTCACTCAACTCATAATTTATCATCAATTAATTACAATTCATCCATTAATGAATTGCTTCAAACAAGCATACATTCTGCTGTATGGTTTAGTGAGCCTAATTCTATCACTGGATATTATTACTTAGAGATCTATGCATTTGTAGTGATAAGTAATCTGATTGCTACAATATTTCGTGCTGTTTTATTTGCTTTCGGTGGTCTAGTCGCTGCATCTGTTGTTCATGAATCTGCTTTGGACACAATTTTGGAGGTTTGTCAAATAAATTTGAGATTTTACGTTTTTGATAGGTAGTGAAAATGTGTTGCATATTGTTAATAAGTTTTATTTGTCTTCTAGGTCAATTTACTATTATTGTAGTAATTATAATCATGTAAATGGTATTGTGGTGTCTGCTACTTATACTGACGGATATAAGTAGTATGTATCAGGAAACGAGAGTAGGATTCTTACTGACAGAAGAGGAAAATGAGGAGAAGAGAAAGAAAAACAAAAGCAGTCAGAGTAGCAACAGGAATGGAAAAACGATAGAGTTTGTAAGAGACACCTCAAAGAAGCTGTGCAAATAATGTATTCAATGTATTGCTTTCATATTTTACAAACTCGGTGTGTGATTTTGCTTAGTACAACAAATTGGTTTACTTTCCCGGACTCTTTGTTCATTATACTATTACTAAACGTTTTACAACACCTAGTACATCAATATAGTGAGTTATAAATAGGGTTGCACATCTGGCACTGAAGTTATGTAAACCTTTTGACTAAATATACGAAAAAAATGCGAATATCATATTTGCTATTTATTTCCTTACATTCTTATGTAAATTTGGTATAATACATGCTGAAAATCCCACCATACAATTACACTGTACATTTAAAATTTTTGATCGTCTTAGTCCAGTGGTGACTTAATCGACATTCGGAACGTATACCCATGAAAACAGTAGTCAGTCAGTCAGTCGTAAACAACGTGGAATTTAGTACAAATGTCCAATGATCTAGTTTGCTAAACTTCGTAGGAGACATCTATCTTCATCGATAAGAATCATCGTAGAATACCACCCAATACTCCGTTATATGTTTTCGAGATCAAATCACCAGAATTAAACAGGCGCATTCCGAAGAAGGCAAAGGAAAAAACCACGTCTTTATTGCCAAGAAAGTGCATAGATAGAAAGCATGGACGGAAAAGTCTGATATAAATGGATCTTAAAAACAGATTCTATAGATCTACTCTGGTTATTGCATACGTAGGTTAGGTAAGATCTCATTGGTTGGTCCGCTTTCAATTAATCATTGACAGCGATTATATTAAGAATGTGCTAAGAATTTAAATGTAAACCGTGTATAAACTCCAATTTTGTTACCACTGTCTCTTATTGTTCGCAACTTCAGAATATATATTCGTCCGCTTCTAATCCTTGTTTAAATTTGGGACATGTGGAGTGAAGGGTTTACTTATCAGTAGAAGACGTACCACTAAGGTTGGGATTTCGATATCAAAATTTGAGACAAGTAACCTTAACGATCTACTCCGGTTTGAATAATTTAGTAGTTGATATGCGCAAATTAGTACTATTCAGCGTCTAATTCATTCTTATACTAGAACACGTAGTCAAGCTCAAATTATTGCTTTTATACTTTAACTCTGATATTTCGTAATCGCAAATAAAATATAACTGACACTGTAAGTTTGTAGAATTATCCAAGGTATATACATTCTATTTCACACCTGATAACCTTTCGTTACGTCATACACATACGCAAATGGTCATAATTATTGGCCTAGCAATTTTTCCAAACATGCATACCAAAGTTCTTTCATAAATGCTAAAACGCTTATGAGACGCTTGTAGCCTCTCTCTCCCTATATATATATATATATATATATATATATATATATTTCTCTCATTGTAGGGACGACAGAATTACTTTAATACTACACCGCAAGGTCGTATCCTGAATCGTTTCTCATCTGACGTTGGTACAGTAGATGACGCATTACCATTCCAATTAAATATTCTACTAGCCAGTTTAGCTGGATTATTGGGTGCATTAGTTATTGTTTGTGTATCACTACCAACGTTAATCTTCTTTCTGCTACCTCTTGTATTCATTTTTTGGTCTATTCAAAGGCAATATCGTGGAGCTGCTAGAGATCTAAAGCGAATTTCTAGGTGAGTTAATTTGTCTTTTTTTTAATTTTACAATAATGATCAATCTATCATTCATTGGTTAATTTCTCTTTCGATTTATATCATGTGGCGGCTTTTTTTAAATCTCGTAGTTATTCTATAATTCCTTTATAATGTTTTCATGTTACTCTTCACGATTTGTCTCCTAGTGTTTATTAAATATTGGAAATCTGTAAAAACTTTTAAACTTTCACATAACATTAATGCTGTTATAAGACCGTACAATTCATCTTGATTACCTATCTCATTCGATTATTATTATCATTAAACTAATAATAGTTCACTTTGATTACACCAGTTTATGCTATAGATTATCAGCTGTATTTGTTATTTATTTGAAAGTTGATTATTTATTCTAACGGACTGCCTTATGTAAATGAGGTGAAATTCAAACCTACGACTGTTTATCTTGTATATAAACTAAACAGAGGTTAGATACCTCTATAATGTTTATTTTTTTCGCGATAAGATAATTGTTAGAATTTGTTTGTTGTACAACGTAACAATGATTTCGTGAAAGTTAAAAAGTGACGCTAATCGAAAATAAGTTATTTATTTTCAAAGTACTGACTGTCCTTAACTCACCCAATCGAATACATATTATTGTCAATATTTCAACTGAAGTATATATAGATATTTTTGTAACCTATTAATCAATTATTTGTTCATCTCCCCAGCTTTGAGCTACACTTTTACTGTGTACTCTAATCATACTACTATGTCAGTAGGTAGGTGGAACCAGTTTGTAAATTTTGACCATACAGTTGATAGTTTAATTTACCAACCATTGGGGAAACGTTTGAGTGACAATAATAAAATCTCATGGACATACGTGAATTATGTTTATGTAATAGCTGACTCACAATTATTAAACGATTCGCTACACCCTTCGGTATTATTTGAATTTCATCAATCGATAAATGGCATTTGAATGCTCACTATTAGACTTAGAGTTCTCGACGTTGATCTTGGTTGATGTGCACTTTTAAGTAGTCTCAAGGCAAGATGAAATAGCTGTTTGTGGTACTTTATGTAATATCTGTCTGTGATGAAACTTACCTGTGAATGCTTTTGGTGGTATTGTGTTTCCTGAGTCATATGGCTAAATTGCAGAGCTTCATTGTATTCCTGGACAATATCAGTGCCTACCTTCATGTACAAGTGAATTTTACTGCTATTCCACAAGTGTCACGTCGGTTTATTCCGATGGCCTTGTTTGTGATTATCTGTCTTCGTAGATTTTGGTTCTTTTCATTTTTCATTGTATTCACGTTGACTGTTTTTTTATTATTTGATCCCCAGCCTTGTAATTGATCGATCACTTTTGTATAAGTTCACATGCTGAATCCATGTCGATATGTTTATTGATTGCCGATTGATCTGAATGCCATATTTCTAGAAGCTTGCTGTGAGCTTTCCCGATTATTTGAACGCTAGATATTCACAGTCTATTGATCGTGAAATCTGTGCCCAAGTTTCATTTTTGTCAAAACTCGCTAACCAAACTATTTATCGAAAAACACATACTTTCAAGTTCATTCGTTGCATAACTAACACTTCTTACTGTACATACATAGATATTTCTCAATTGATCTAATAAATTGTTTTTACATCAATTTCAATGCTTGTTTGGAATGCAACTATAAATTTTACTTTATGTATATAGACTTGTATGACGAATAACATACTTATTACAAATATCGGTTGCTCGACATATAGTCTACTTTCTAATTGAAATAAGGTTCGTTAATAGGACAAATTAAAACTTTCGTGCCTTTATCGATCACTTTCCGAATTTATATCTTTCAATATATATATATATATATATATATATATATATTGCTTGCATAACATAACATAACTTACACATAGACTAACTCATTTACTTTAAAATACATGTTTGAAGTAATGCTCGAAAATAGGTATCTACTCAAAATCATTTTACCATAAGCTTATTTTGAATTATGTTAGTTGTGTAACAGTTTTGGCTTTTCATAAATAATTACTTTTTAGTCATACGTAATCATAAACCACTTATCTAGAAGAAAATTATACTTTATTTCACTTCTTTTTTTACTTTAAACGTTTTCTATTAATGTTGATATTATTACTATTCACAATTCCCAGTATTGTTCGTTCACCTGTTTATGGTCATTATACCGATACTTTATCTGGATTAGCAGTAATACATGGTTTAGGTCAAGAAATCCGTTTTCGACAATTAACAGCTTGTAAATTATCTGATCAAATACGTGCTGAGTTAGCTAGCTTGGCTGCTAGTTGTTGGTTAAGTATAAGACTACAATTAATTGGCAGTGCTGTGATTACTGGTGTGGTCAGTGTATCATTAATTGGTCGATTGTTTGATTGGACACATGTAAGTTATAGTTCGTTTATCATTCAAAATGTACTTAACTACATCAATGATTTACATTGAGTCATTTTTCTTTAGCCATGTTATATTTTAAGTTTATCGTTGATATAAATTATGGTTTCAGTCATCTAGTGGTTTTAATAAGTATATGATGAATAGTGTAATCTTGAGTTGTCTAGTCACAATAAAGTTCAGAAAACTTCGCTTTGACTTCTTCTAATTCTTATTGGTTGTTTGATTGAAATCGGTTTGTCACAAACAACCAATCTATGAACTTATACAGAAGTGATCGATCAATTACAAGGCTGGGGATCAAATAATAAAAAAACAGTCAACGTGAATACAATGAAAAATGAAAAGAACCAAAATCTACGAAGACAGACAATCACAAACAAGGCCATCGGAATAAACCGACGTGACACTTGTGGAATAGCAGTAAAATTCACTTGTACATGAAGGTAGGCACTGATATTGTCCAGGAATACAATGAAAACTCTGCAATTTGACCATCTAGCCCAGGTGACATAAAACTGAAATCATTTTTTAACCAGATAATAGGTGGTTCAATTTCTGATAAAAAGTGATGTTTATAGAAAGCTACAGGCATCTCATTGATGATATAACTAGTGAGTATAGGTACTTTACAGGATATCATCCATCCCATATGTATATATCTGTACAAATATTAGTTTATTTCATCTTAATACGACTGCCACAAAGATACGAAATTCAATCAGAAGTCATTATATTTGAAATAATCTCAGCGATTGAAATTTAAAATAATTCCAACGTTTTGTCCAGCAAACTTATCTGGACTTCTTCAGGGTAATAATCAAAATCATCAAAGAAATATATTACTTACTTACTTTCGCCCGTTACTCCTAATGGAGCATAGGCCGCAGACCAGCATTCTCCAACCCACTCTGTCCTGGGCCTTCTTTTCTAGTTCCATCTAATTCTTGTTCATTTTTCTCATGTCTATTTCCATTTCCCGGCGTAATGTGTTCTTTGGTCTTCCTCTTTTTCTTTGGCCTTGAGGATTCCATGTGAGGGCTTGTCAAAGAAATATATAGCGTTTTAATAATCAAATCTATACTGTGTTAATCCAATGATATTTGGATGTTGATTTTAGTAAATAGGATAATATGAGTCAGTTAAATGCAAATCATGTCAAAAGTTCACGATGTAAAAAGAAATGACTGAACGAATTGTGTATGTGTAAGATTGAGTTATTAATTATTGATATTCGGTGTTAATATGTTTTTATATGAAGGAAAAATGTTATAACTCTGTTTTCTTACGGTTAATGACCCAGCTATTCCTATTGCTTAGTATTCGAAGCACAATAGGAAAACGTCGGTATATTTATAGTTTTTAAATCCGAGTCTACTACAGCTGATTGGATAAGATAGCCAATCAGCGTGCACCAAAAATAAAAGTGCAAGTTGAAGGTTGAAAAATTGTTTCTCAATCATTGATGTTCATGTAAAATAAGAATCATTTTCAGAGTTTGTATACATCGTTTTCACGTACAACGACAACCCATTAGTTAAAACACTCGATTTTCCACCATGTCCGACCTATTCCAGTCTCGACTACCGGGTAGTATCACCATCTCCCACAGCCAGTTAGTGTTATCCGAACATAGATACACAGCACGGATCCATACTTTATTAATTTGTTGTAATACCACTAGTTATTCACAAGTCACATATTTTGTAGAGAAGTAAAAAAACACCCCTAAAGCCAAGCTAGATACAGTTAATTTGATTCCGCATTCATTTACTGGTTGAGTGCTGAGCTTACTTGTGTACAACTTACCTACAAATTTTCTGTTTGATCAAAACACATAATGCTTCTGTCAAATCTAAATCTGTTTAAAAATCCTACTTAAAACATGTACAGCTTATTTTTATTATTTCGTCTGTTTCTAAAACAAAATTGGTATAATCAATGCAGTAGTTTTAAATAAATATAGTCGTTTAAATGAGCTATTACATACACTATACTGAACAGTAATGGATAACAGTTACGCTTCTACGTATAGATTAGAATGTTTAATCTTATAGTAGTTAACATATAAAAACAATTGGAAGCCACAAACAAAAATTCGACCAATTTAAAATGGTAGGCATTCATAATATCATTTTTAGTTGCTTGAATAGCTTAATTCTCTCTCTCTCTTTCGCTCTTTGATAACTTTAATCATTAAGGTTTTCAATGCATGGTTTGAAGAACTCTAACTCCACCTTACGAACCATATGTTTCACAGACAGTTCAATAAGTCTCTAAGATTAGATAAAATACAACCAATCTCAAACTAAACATGAAGATTCCACTTTTTTTCTTTATTTCAGATAGCTTCTATTGGTTTGTCGGTTGTGTATGCACTTAATATTTCCGGTTTAATGACTAGTGTTGTGTATGATATGACTGAAACAGAGAAAAATCTTGTAGCTGTAGAACGTTGTCAAGAATTAATTGATGATACTCCAATTGAACATGATATTGTATCAATTAAACCCATGGTTAGTCCATAGTTTACTATTCGTCTTTTAGTTATGTATAAATTTCTTTTAGAATTGTATTTAATTATTTCTTGTATATGTTTGTCAGTCTAAATATAACAATTTGATGTAAATAGTTACTAGCTATATATGTAATATATTCGTCCCCACAGGAAAGTATACTTAGGGTCATTTTAAAGGATTAGATCTAATTTTGATGGAGTTATATTCACATTACTAATATTGTACTGTAGGATTTAATTATCTACAGACAAATTTCTAAACCAGTCCCTAGGCTGTTGATTACAGTCTTGGGGTGGCCAAAGTCAAAACAAGTTATTTGACTTGAATAACTTCATGTTTCCAAGCGTAGATTAACACAGTTACTATGAGAACAGAAATCAATTCAATCCGCTGTGGTGCATAGAAATTGCTCTAGATCATTATCTCCACCCATTTGATACTCAAAATATTCACCTAGGGATGTGATATGATTTTGCGTAATCCCAGACATTTCACTGCGTACAAATATATACGTCACTAAACTGAGCGATCGACCCGTGAGAACACTGTGCCACGTATTGTAGGTGGCCTGCGGATTCAGCTGCTCCCTGTAAGATTGTTACACAAAGTGGACAATAATAAAGCTTTCGTCCCTGAAATCAGTAATGGTCGGACAGTTTCAAATTCCGCCTCGGTCAGCTCCCCTTTCCTCGAATTGTTGTAGCTTAGGAGATTGAATTCATGTTTGTAATTCATATTACCACGGAAAACGTTTCAGTAGCCTTTAATGAGTTTATAAAATACGAAGCCTGGGCAGCACTTTAGGAAACAATGTTGTAAAATTGATCAACTTATCTCCTTCGTTGAATAGGATTATCAGATCTACCTGCTCTTCAATCATTTATCCAACATTTAAATGTAATATACGCTTTCTAATTCTTATGGAAATGGAAATACTAAATCGCTGTGTTAAATGTTATGTGTTACAATTTTTATAAAAATAATTTGGAATTACCTCGTATTCGTGTAACTACTCTTCTGAAGGGGCCTCAACCTCGTTCTTCGTCACACAGTCACCTTCGTTTGCCGAAAGAGAGGAAAAGTGGTATTGCTTATCCTACAGGACTACTGCCTAACTGGCCAGCATCTGGATCCATTTTTTTCAACAATGTTTCGCTTACCTATCGTCAAAACTCCGAGTCAGCTAATGAACAATCTGTCAAAGCTCTTGATGATGTCAGTTTTACTGTTAAACCCGGTGAATGTGTAGGAATTGTTGGCCGTACAGGATCTGGTAAAAGTAGTCTCATCAAAGTGTTATTACGTCTGGTTGACCACCTCCCTGGACCGTATACAAACCAATATATAGCTAATCAGACGGGATTCATAGGTGCCACCGGTCAAGTATGTTACATTTGTTTAGTTTTTTCAAGTTGCTCTGGTCAACAATATAATAATTCCTTGACAACACCGTTTTTTGCTCATCCAAAGTGGTATTTTGTGATACTAATATATAATCACTAAATATAGTAAAATTTATGATCTGATCTTTAGTAACACAAAAAGTCCAAGCAATTACTAGCCGTTTGTCTGGTATGAAATTGTAAATAATGGTATACATAATGGTTAGTAGAACTGGGATGTGTGGAAGGTTCTTGCCTTAAAAGTAAGATGTTAACTTTGAGGTCGTCCTTTTATATCAACTACCGTGGTTCTGCCACAAGTATCATTTCCATTGGCCGTTGACTGCTGAATGCTGTCTAACGAGATTAGAGTAGCCATCTCAACTTAAAGGCAGTGTTGAATATCATCTACCATCTTGATCGTGTGCACAGATTTTGTGTACATGCATGTATTTTTCAATCCCTATCTTGTTTTTCATTTTTCACTCACCCTTCCCTACTTGTAATTGATATATCCCCCTATTTTCAACATCCACTGACGTACCTTTCTATTGTATTCAATGTCATGTGATTAGTTGTCTTCTTACAAATGACTTAAACGATCCCGAACTTCGATCATGATCACTCAATTTATCGTGTTCTAAATGTTCAGAGGTTTTGATCCACTCCTTATTGAACTTAGATGCTCATTGGCCCTGGTTAAAATCTCTGAATCATAGATCCTTTCTTTCGTGCTAATTTCCTAATATGAAACGCCGTTAATGCATTACTTTATGCGTAAATATATTTATAGTACCTCACTTTGTGTATTTTGAAATACATTTATAACACTTAAGTCATTCTTGATTTTGGATTCATTTTAAATAAATATTGGTTTACTGTACCTATGTTTTGAATCAGTGTGCTACTTCCTTTGGTCAGGATATTCACAACTGTAGTCGACAACACTGCGATTTTTTTGCTTGTATTCTTTCAATCATTTTTCTATGTAGAATGTTGAACTAATTATATCCATCTTCTAAAAGCTCAGCCGCGTAAATCAGTAATTTTGGTGTAATCTAATAGTCAAACTGCGGTCTCCGTCATACAAAGGATCACTAGAATTATGGGAGCTAAATTGTCTTGTAAATTTACTAAAATGACTAATATATTCGAACTCACCATTTGCTTATGGAATCGTTTTCTAAATATTATGGGAATAGATCTCAAAACGTTGAACTACTCCCTAATCGACTGAATGTGTTAAGGAATTTATATTATCATTCATGTCTCAAATATTCAACTTAAAGAATATGATTAAGTTATTTATCATATCATAAATAAATCCATGATACTCCACTTCTCGTTATATCAAATCCAAAATTACTCACTGTACTAAAGTAATGATAAACTTGTTGAAAATTCTAAGAATTTCAATAACTATAAAAGTTAGAATGCAGTCAATAGTATGTTCTGATTGTTAAATAGTAAACGTATAGTCTTTCAACCAACAATCTTTATCTCGACAAAGAAAGTACAACTTTGTATACTTTAATGTGATTCACACACTTTTTGAGAGTTACAGCATTAGGCTAATGAAAACGGAATTCGAACATTCAAGTCGGTGTTTGGAAAAATTAGGTAGTCTGTATACGAAACTCGAATTTATTTGGTCAGCTGATTTGATAAATCAGCTTACAACATAAATGTAAGATCAGAATTAATTATATATATCCTTCCTATATATTACTTGTGTTATGATTTTCATCCCGTGCCTGCTTATTGTAGCGAACAAAAATGTAGTTGGGGACAATCGAATGTATTTGAATACAAAATTACAGGATCTCTTAGTAAAATTTGAGAACCATACAGTAAACACTTCATTTGCAAAATGTCAATCAATCGTCTCAGACTTCATGGTTCCTTCATTTCCACAACAATCATTCTCTAATCTCGTTCTCTTTACTTCGATCTTCTTCACCTTCTGCCGCTAGGCATTTTACTTTCGATTGGTGACACATACTACTTATATCTGTCCACATCAGTAGCACACACCACATTATGAGCTCACTAACAGTCAATAGTCCTCACAAAATTCCCTCTCCTCTCTAAATTACCAGTCAGATGGCCGTGTGGCTAAGTACTGATATTATGCTGCACTATTAAAATTCACATGTGGTGTGTACTTGAAACACATGACCATGATATTAGATTTACCGAAATAACGCACTCGAGGTTGAATGAATTAATGCCTTGTCTTTGTTTCTCAAAATATTTATGGGTAAAAATAGATAAAAAGTAAGAGGTTCTACAACAAATAATAATGAGTTTACGTTAAACTCACATTCAAGGAGGAGAAATTCAATCAATATTTATCTGTCATTTGAATATACGATAGTATGATAATCGATTCAGTAATCTGACTAGACACACTATAACAGATACTAAATAATTAGACTACTCGATTAAATCACATTTCACGACTAAACACAGAGTACCAGGGTACAGGTCAGACAATAGTTTGCTTGATACAATTAAGCGCAATCCTCATTCAGTGAAAATCCGAGTAGTAAACCAGAGTTTCGTTATAAGCATAATGATTTATACAAAACATTGTAGTGGGCCTTCTCATCAACCTTCATTGATTAATCACAGTTCACTTTCATCTGATGCATCAAATTGTTATAACGTGAAAAATATTTGCTGTGGATTAAGGGGTAGCGAATTATTGATCGGACCAAAGACGCGCAAAAACGTAGAACGACCTATTGTTCTGATTGGTCTCGCTTCCCTGTCTAGCCCAGTCACTTGAGTCCAGAACACAAGTCACAGCCTCGGATATATGAATCATTATATTTCAAACATACTTTGTTTATATACCAGTCAAGCAGACCACAACGTACCATAAAATAGAAAATAACATTGTACAACAATGGCCAACAGGAAAATAACACGTTAAATAAATATTAACCAATAAGATGATACCATTCCATGTCCAAGGATAGCATTAGGCTTAACAGTATAATTTTTGGGATATTTCCCTGAATATCCCAACACAAATATACATGCTGATTTCTCAGGGGATAAGTTTCAAAGTTTCACTTTCCTTCCGTTTTAGCAGCTTATTTATTATCTGATTAAAATGATATCGAAATTTTCGTCGACCATATACTTTATTTGTTCATTGATATTATTATTGTTTAGTATTATCGTTCTTCGCTTTCCCCTATCTATTTTTCATTTGCAAGGTGTTTGTCGATGGAATAGATGTTCGCACTATTCCTCTCACCTTACTTCGTTCTCGGATTCTAACTATTTGTCAGGAACCATTTCTCTTTTCTGGGTGCTTACGAGACAATCTAGATCCTGAGAAGTATGTTCATTAGAAGCTATTATCCCTCTATTGTGATTAATCTTGTCATATAAAACATTTTCAACTTATTAATATTGAAATTAACTCACGCCGAAATGAAATCCCGTGTCTCTTCGTTAACTGATCACAACGTCAGTCAACCCTAAGCACCGTAGAACCTGGAACATTCGTGCATTGGTTCAAGTTACCATACCATATCAGCACGGCGAGATAAAATTATAAAAACAAATGCCATAGTAATATGCAGTAGTAACGGTATTAATGATAACAGAAAAGATTAGCCATAGACAGTATAATTCGAAAAAAAATAAGTTCATGGAATAAAATAACATAATTTGATCATAAAACCCAAGATCCAAAACAATAAAAAACGTGACTGAATCTGTACCATTGTTACTGATTTTAAATCATGTCACTTGACAGCTCCAGCGACTCGTTACGATAATAGTGCTGACCCTAACTAGGTCATCTTAACCTACCAACACGACTCAATCCAACAGTCAATGACTAGATAAACTGATGCAACGTCCTGGACTGGTTTTCGCTTACTTTTTTCCACCTTATTCATACATTCGTAGACATCACAGCAACGACCAAATTATAGGGAAGGATGTGATTGTTACTTTACCAGTAGGGATTTTTATCCAACCAATGATAAGTATCTCATCCTTAGGATTAAATTCGTACATTATAATATCAGTAGAAAGTAGATTAAATAGATTATATCCTACTAGTGTATTCAACATGTGCTGTACACAAAACTATCATTTATAATGATGGCAGCATAGTATACGGGCTTATTCTATGATATTTAAAACAATAAAAGTGGCAGATCCCGATATAGGATGAGAAATGACCTAAACATTCTACTACCTTCCATCATCTTCTAACTCTTCAAAGCTATATCGCCAGTTTTCCTTAACCGATCTTTGTTTAAGCTCAGTCATTATTATTACCACATTTATAATCCCAACACTTCCCTCATATTTTTTTCTCCCAAAAAATTACTACTAGTAAGCTAAATGATTCTGTATTGGAAGACGTTTTATTGAAATGTCAACTGGCTACAAGTCGTTTACAAGCCTCTCAGTGGTTACTTCGTGAAGTTGGTGAATCAGGACGAGATATATCTGCCGGGCAAAGGCAATTGATTTGTTTAGCTCGAGCTTTACTACGTCAACCTAGGCCAAAAATTATTTGTTTAGATGAAGCCACTGCTTCAGTGGACAACAAATGTGAAGAAACTATTCATGTAAGATTTCATTCTGTGTTAGTCATTAATTAATAAATTAATTGTGTAACATTACTTTCCAGACTTTGGTTACTGTATAGCATGCTCCAGCTTGTTGTAAAAAGTTATTTAATTATGATACAACTATTATGTCTAAATTCACAGAGAATTTAGATATGTCTTTGACTTAGCTATTGAACGAAATAAGGTTTAAGTTACTGTACAAATAATTTATCAATTTTACTTTTTTTCTCATTAGTTGGATCATAATTGCTGGAATTCATATTATTGTTTAAAAGTTCGGATGTTATAACTCTCATATCTCTTTTAATGCTTAATCCTTTCTTCCATTACTCAGTGAATCGAATTCTATATTCTTAGTGATTTCTAACTGGCTGAATTATTCATCTGTAATTTCGACAATAACATATTCAGTTTCAGATAACATCTTGATGTGGTTCCTTTTTAATTATGTGTTAAACACATTACTTTCCACCTTGCATTGTATTTTATTAGTTAATTGGCATTTTCTTTGTCTTAAATTAAATGGTCGTGAAATCGTATGGTCTAGATTTACGGGCCTGTCGGCGTCAACTACCTCGCCATGTTTCAGTAACATTTCGATTATGACCTTAAGTTATCGACGTATGAGATATGGATAACTAGTTTATCAGTTTGTTTTTATACTATCCTCTCGTTTTGTTAATTAATTTAAACGAAAATACAAACTTGACGTATTTTCAATGGGCTAATAATGTTCAGAAGTTATTTAGTATATAGGTTAAACTTTATTGCACAGAATACAATCTCTAACTTTCCTTCTCGTGGCAAAAATATATTTGGCTGAGCAGACTATATTCTGATATTTTTTTCCCTTGCTAATAAGTTGAAGAAAAAGTAACTACTGACACGTATAAGTCCTACTAATGACTAATTTCCCACTTAATAACGAAATGTATTATAACAAGAATACATATGTCACTTATGTAACAGTGTTTTAACATTTATTTATATTTTCCATACAAACAGCAAGTCCTTGACCAAGAATTTCAAGGAGCCACAATATTACTCATAGCCCATCGACTTGCTTCAGTTCGTCGTTTATGCTCACGTGTTATAGTCATGCAGTCTGGACGATTGGTTGCAGAAGGTCCACCAAAAGAAATTTTAGATGCCTTATTCAATCATATTGAAACCAGAGATCTGGTCACATTGTAAACAGTGACATTAATTTATAGATCTGATCTGTTAGCTAACTAAATTATGCATTATTGTTTTACTATTTTTAATAATATGTATTTGATTTCTTTCTGATTAACAATGTATTTTTGCTAAAGGTACATATTGGCTGAGAAAAAGTAATTTTTTGCCTTCAGTTTAGTACGTCAGTCAGTCAGTCAGCTACAACGTAGGACCAGGCACATATATGCATTGGTCCAAGTTGCCATACCTCATTAGCATAACAAGATGGACACCGGATTCATAAAAGCAGTTAATTCAGAGGTGGTAATATATAAAAAAGCGAAAACAAATCAGATCTAGGTTGACCAAAAGTCTAAGGAACGACCGTGAGCAGTGGTGGGCAACGAAAGCAAAAGAGATGGAAAAGGCGGCGGCTATAGGAAACACAAGACAGCTCTACATATTAATAAAAGAAACTGGAATTAATAAGTCAAGTGTAAGTCAGACTATCTTGGAAAAAGACGACACTCTCATCTGCTCTCAGTCCAGACGTTTAGAACAATCGGCGGAACATTTTAGGGAACAGTTCAGCTGGCCTTCAGCTACTCTACAACTACCCTCCATTCCTAGACAGTGTGACTGGAACATTAAAGTAGGTCCCCCAACTCGAGCAAAAGTTAAAAAGACTATAGTTAATCTGAAACGAGGAAGGACAGCTGGTCTAGATGGATTGGCTCCAGAAGTCTTTAAGGATGGTGGTCCAATTTTAACGATTAGGTTGACTAATATTTTAGCTCAGATCTGGGAGTTAGATGTTATCCCATCTAACTGGTCACAATCACTTATCGTCCCAATATACAAGAAAGGGTTAAAATCATCTTGTGACAACCACAGAGGGATTAGTTTAACTAATATAATATCTAAAATACTAGCCTCAATAATTATCAGACGCCTAACTGAGACTCGTGAACTGCAAACACGACAAAATCAAGCTGAGTTCACACCTTCTTGTGGATGCATCGACCACATATTCACCATTCATCAGGTTCTTAAAAGCAGCGTTTGACTCCGTAGACCGAGAGGTTTTGTGGCAGTGTCTGTCATTGATTGGTGCACTTCAGAAGTACACACACCTTGTGAAGGCTCTTTACTCGAACACTACTAGTCGAGTCAGAGCTTATGGCGAACTGTCATCTGCTTTTGCACAGTCAGGGCTGTCCACTGTCTCGATTTTCGTTTAACTTCATCATAGACATACTGATGGAAATAACATTCTCGTCAACTGAATTCCGAGATTGATCTCCTCCAGGAGGTCCACTTATCGACTTAGAATACGAGACGACATAGTCCTGTTTGGTGAAGACGCTGATAAAATGCAGAGTCTTTTGGTAGCACTAAGCAACAATGCCAGAATGTTTGGAATGCGCTTCTCTCCCTCTAAATGTATGTTGTTGCTTCAGGACTGGTCTGCGTCAACATCTGAACTAAGGATAGGGAGTGAAGAAGTCAAACGCGACGACAACTTCACTTATCTTGGAAGTTTGATCGACCCTAATGGGTTGGTGTCTGACGAAATCTCAGCACGGATTCGTAAAGCTCGTTTGGCTTTTGCCAACTTACGTCACCTATGGCGAAGGCGAGATATCCGTCTATCAATAAAAGGACGAGTATACTGCGCGGCAGTCCGTTCTGTTTTACTTTACGGAAGAGAAACATGTCCATTAAGAGTCGAAGATACTCTTAAGCTATTAGTATTTGACCACAGATGCCTTAGAAATATTGCTCGCATCTGTTGGGATCACCGGGTAAGTAATAGTGAGGTTAGACGTAGGGTATTAGGGAATGGTGGTAAATCACAGTTGATGAGGTTGTGAATCTCCATCGACTGAGATGATTGGGCCACGTGTTGCGTATGCCTGAACACCGATTACCACGGCGTGCAATGCTAACAGTTGTTGGGGATGGTTGGAAGCATGTTCGAGACGGCCAAACTAAAACGTGGTATCAGTGCTTGAAGACGCTAACTTTTGGTCTGAACAATGTTGATAGATGCAGACGGGAATAATAGAAGAGCCGTGTATTTGGGTAGTTAAATGAATGATGCTGTCAAGCGATATCAGTCCATGTGTAGCAAAGACCAGAATGATGTATGCTAATTCTTGTAGCTTATGAGACGCTTTCGTGGGTGCAGTTCTACTTGGTTTTTGTGAAATCTAGAATTCTAAAGATTGTCTGAAGAACTGCATTCATTCTAAACCAACAGTGTAGTGAGGCCTAAGAGCGTGGACTCTGGAGATAACCCACTAAGTGTTACATTTTGGAACATTATCTTCGGTCTTCTGACGCTCAAACAACACGGAAAATGACCGGAAGAAGTCAAATTATTATATGGTTTCGTAAATTGCAGAATAATCTTCATAGGTTTAATGTCCTATAATTCGTCACAAACAGAATAGAGCTATTAATGTTGTACTGCTCACTGACTCAAGATAGAACCCACTGGCAATCTTGAAGTCTTAAATTGTTTATTTTCATAAACATTATGGTGAACCCTCACACTGTAACCTAATTTAGTAGGATTGTTAGTTATCTTCGGATAACTGTCATTTCCCAAGGAAAATGATTTTCTGTTGCTTTTCAATAGTGAACATATTAATTCCAAACTAAGTGTAAGGCATGATCGATACACGAACCCACCAATGTCAGTGTCAAAAGCCCACCACCACCTTGACTTTCTTTGATCTTAAATGTATATTTATTTATTGATTTATTTGAACACATAAATATTGGTATAAATGGGCACCGAATATATATGCGCCACACAAGTCACTTGATTTGTGTATGATCCATGATACTGCCCAGATGCCCAAACCGAAGCAGGTGATTTTCTTAGGGGACCACACCCGGAACCTTCGATCTAAAGGTCTAATCCACAAGGCAGTGGAACGACGATAAGAGATGCAGTCTCATGGTGGCCGGTGACCAACAATAGGTTCGTACTCTACTTGTCCCTTCGGGATACTGGAGCCCATGTGCACCATTGGGTTGGAATCAGGGTTTTCAAACTCCCCTAGGTGGACTCTCCGTGTCCATCAACCCGGTTAAAGGGCCGGATATTCGCTTTTCGTCCTGTGTACGGGTGGACATGTGAGATCGTTTTGAGAGGGAGAGCTGACTCTCCCTACCCTCAGCTGTACCAGGGCATTTGGGGACCTGTCTTGTTTACTCACTAATTACAACCTTTCGTGTGCCATAAATGATATTAATTTTTAGCAAAGGGATCCAGGATGCGCGCTTCGTCTTGTTTGGGACTCGCCAGCTGGATGTTTCTCCATCCCAGAGTTAACGTCCACTACGAGACTCGAACCCAGTGCCATTTTCAGACGCCTTTGCGTTATCCACTTAGATACTGAGTCCAGATACCCACTAGCTTGTGCAATGAGGTGAGGTTTTGTCCCATTCGTGACTCACTTCCTGTACTCCACGGTTAGCCACTTCTACTTATAATGCTTGTAACTTAAGACAATCCGCACATATGCCATGCAGACACTGATCAATCGCAGTCCTTAAATTAAGTGGGAAGATTCAAACAACCAATACAAATGAGTAGTAGGTTTTCTTGACTCACTTCCCCTCTTCTGATTACTATTCAGTATGTTACTTATGTCACTCTTTCTCCGTTTAATAGTCTATTAATTTGTTTTTCGTATACTAACCGTGTTAATTTGCGTCTTAAAATGGAAAGTTAACTAAGCCAAATGGCTTACCTATTCTAACTTTGGCCGAGCTAACACTGTGCTTGACAACCAGAGGATTAGCTTAGAATTGCGTTTGTAGGTAATTACTTTCTATATAAAGTGTGCTTTGGCTGAAATATGAACTGACAAAGTTTATTTTTCAGTCAGAATCACTGAATATCAAATACACCCACCTGAAAATCCACTTAAAATATATAAACAAGAATATTCAAAAATCTTGGTTACTGACGCCTCTAGATACTTATAATACATTCATCCCGAAATTTAAAGTGTGTTGACGTTAGTCGCTGTAACCGAATATGGTGCTATAATTGTGTTTTGTTTCACGCCAATAACGACAATTCCACAACTAGGCTGTTATATCCTAACGCCGAAGAAAACCTTGCAATGTTTACCGTTTATCTATTCACTCAACAAAAATGGTGTAGGTCGTCGTTTTTTAGTCCAGATTTCCAATCACCTTAGTCCTCTGAAAAATCCATTATTTCAGATTATACAATCTACTTATGTCACACGGGTTTCTGGGATATGTTGAGTGATTAAAAAGTCGCCACAATATTGTGGTTTAAGAAATTTATCAGTGAGATTTTTTAGACAGCCAATTCATTCTTTCATGCACTCAAGGATCAAAAAGTATATTTTACTTTGATAATCGTTTAGTTTCCCTCCTAGTAGACTAATCAGTTAAGATTTTAAATGTGATTTTGTGAGCAGTTTTTTTAATTGACTACATCAATCTACCATTCATTAATTATTAACCGTATCTGTATCTTACTAATAAGGCGTGGATTCATAATAAGTCCACTTCACAAGGATCGATAATGAAACACTCAAACGAACAATCTTAGTCAGATAATTTACAATAAGACATAGATTGTTCCTTTTTGCAACAAAAAATGTCAATAATGAATAATTTATCTAGGATGAATCGATAAACTTGTGGTTCATATGAATAACCTGTGATATGAAAAACAGATGATACAACATATACAGTCAAAGAGCATTGGAGATAATAGTATACAAGGATCCAGAAGTACAATAAGCCAGAAGCAATCACTTATCACTAGTCCAAATCTTAATTGTTTTATCGCCCTCTAACGATCCTGAAGCAATCATGTTCATTTGAGGATGACAAGCAGTACACAAAACAACATCTATAAAAGAATTAAAAAGTTTAGAATAAAATGTAAAAACAAACCATTATGACCAGAAAGTTTTTGTACAATTTCCTTTGTTTGCAAATTCCATAAATAAATACAGTTGTCTTCAGACCCCGAGACAATCCACTAATCAAAAACAATCATCAAATAAATTATTAAACATACTTTGCCTCCGGTAACTGAAAAATTTGCAAATATACAATACTTCTCATTTTTGTGCCCTCCATAAATTTTCAAGCATCTACCCTTAGTGTAATCCCATAATTTGAGACAACTATGTTTGGAAAATTCATTAGGATTTAGTCATGTTAAGTAACTTGAATACCTATCGAGTGTAGCAGCTAGAATATATTTGCCATTAGGCGAGAATTTAACAAATGAAACAGGAGGGTTATCATCATCTGAAAATCAATCAATTGAGCAGTATATGTGCATGCACAAGTCAAGTTACCTATTAATGTTTTCAAACACTGACCAGAACCGGTATCCCAGATTCGACTAAAATTTAGATTAATTGTTCAAGAAATACAATTTAAACCACATACCATAGTCCATCATAACTGCTGGAAGCAATAAGTGAACCATCACGATTGAAATTAACCTAAGCAGGTTTTTAAGAAAATTATATAAATAATGACATACAGCTGTAACAGGATCAGAGTGGGCAGGAAGCGTGCGGATACACCGGCCTGTCTTCACATCCCATAACTTGACACTTTCATCAAACTATACCAGTAGCAGTTAGAAAACAACAAAGACGAAAGACATACCGAGCCGGAAACGATCAGGTTTGACTGTGGATTAAAATTGCAGCAAAAAACATAGTTGCTGTGACCTTTAAGAGTTTTCAGGCACTTGCCAGAGACGAGATCCCACAGTTTTAAAGTTTTGTCATCGGAGGAACTACACAGAAATCTTGAGTCGTAAGACCATGAAACATCTGAGATTCCCTTTAACATATTATATATGCATAGCAAATAAAAATTATTAAAGTAAAAACTACCAGTTTATGACCGCTGATAGATTTTTCAAATTTCCCGTCATAAGCATTCCATACTTTGATTAATTTATCAGCTGCTGTATTGTTTCAAAGGGGGAATGTAACTAATAGTCGAGTGCTTACATGAACTTGCCAACCACTGACCATTTTCACTAAATTTTACTGATGAGACTGCTTTTGTATGACCAGTTAGAGTGAATTTTAAGAAGTAATTGGGGACCTAGCAGGGTGTGATAAATCCATCACCAGTACTTACTTCACTACTCATTAGATGGGTAAAATATGTGTTTCAAGTCTATAAAAACAAGTATTAAATTATGCATCCAATAATAAGTTACGTAAACAAGATGCTTAAAAATAAATTAATCCAGTTGACAGCTTGCTTACATTTTTTAGTGATTTTCCTACCGGGTAAATGATAATTGTGGTTACCAAATCTAAACTAGATTATGACACAAACAGAGCCCACACACTAATCAAGTGACTGGTGTGGTGCATATGTATTCGGTGCCCCTTTGTACCAAGATTCATGTGAATTTTGCAGACAAGATAAGAAACAAATACAAAAGTTATTTAAAAATGATTTTATATACGAAAGCACACTGGGAAGTATGTATTTCACGTTTGACTGTACTGAATAACGGACCAAACAACGAGAGAACCATGATAAAACGTTTGATAATTCCTTACTCGATTATCTGAAGCTTTAATTTAGGACCAGATGAACTACACCCCAAAATCTTGAGACATATTGCCCAATATATCGCAGCCCACTGACTGTGATATTCAAAATGTCACTTGACCAAGGTGTGTTACCTATGGACTGGAAGGACGCAATCGTCACTCCCATACATAAAACAGGTCCACGACAAGTTCCATCGAATTAAAGACCTGTAAGCCTCACCAGTGTGGTAATTAAAATACTGGAAAGAATAATCAAATGGACCATAAAGGCACTTATGGAAACCAATAACTTGCTGAACATGGCACAACATGGTTTTAGAAAGGGTCTGTCCTGTACAACGAACCTCCTTATAGCTAGGGAGCTCTGGATTAATGCGCTAGACAACAGAAACTCAGTGGATGTTGTCTACATAGACTTCAGTAAGGCTTTTGACAAGGTGCCAACTAATAAACTGATATTGAAGTTGGCAAACCTTGGTATTGCCGGACTTCTTTTAAAATGGATTAAGGATTTCCTAGTAGGTCGTAGGCAAAAAGTAAGAACAAATTCCAAGTGCTCCATCTGGAGACCAGTACTTAGTGGAGTACCCCAAGGTTCCGTCTTAGGTTCTTTACTTTTTATAATGTACGTTAATGATCTTACAAGTATAGTAAAGTCTCCAATGTTATTATACTCTGACGATGTAAAAATTTGGCGAGTAATAACTGGAGACAAAGACGCATTTACTCTTCAGGCGGATTTAAATAATATGATAAACTGGTCTAAAGAGTGGCTGATGCCTGTCAACTCGGAAAAGTGTGTCTACATGCACTTGGGGGATTCAAAGGTTAATACGTACAACATAGGGGATGTGTCATTACCCGTAGTCCGGTCTCATAAGGACTTAGGCGTGACAGTGATCCATGATCTTAAGACGACGGCCCATTGCCGGGAGGTCGCAGTTAAGGGGTTTCGAACCCTCTGGGCTTTAAAAAGGACATTCACTAAGTTTGATACTACCAAGTTCACCACAGTATACACATCCTTAGTGAGAACTAAGTTAGAGAACTGTGTTCAGGCTGTAAGCCCCTGTTTAAAAGGTGACTCGGACATACTAGAAGAAGTACAGAGGGCAGCTACCCGTGCAATTTCAGAACTCCGGGGTTTATCATACAAAGAGCGGCTTGAAAATCTGGACCTCTTTACTCTGTCCTATCGCAGAGTGAGGGGAGATCTAATATTGATGTACAGAATACTGAGAAATTATTTCGGACCTAACTTATTCTCTCTTTTTCTTCCCACTAGATCGGGACACCTCAGAGAACATAGCAGGCGAGTAGAAAAGCCAAGGACGAACAAAATACCCGTGGCATACAGGTTTTCACACCGAGTCATCAATACTTGGAACCTGCTGTCTGAAGCAGTGGTGTCCGCACCTTCAATTGACTCTTTCAAGAGAAGACTGGACACTCACAGAAGCATACTAGAAAAGGAATAACATAGGCCGTAGGCCTTCTGTCCTTACTACACAAATCTGAATCTGAATCTGATAATTAGAACATTATTATCCTTAAAGGATGATAAGTGAAAAACTATAAATTGCAGACAGTTTTGAGGAATATAAGCATTGCACTCTATGACATGAGATATTTTATTGGAAATTGCTTTGTTCAGAAATTTTTCCAATCTAATGCAACCACCATCTTTAGTGCAGAAAGCCGCCTGTAGCGTAATTTTATGTAGTAACGATGCCGCAGAAAAATTATGAAAAACCAGTTTTTTCAAAGCCGTAGACTGTAAAATTTGTTGGCAATAAGATATTTAAGCAGTCGACTTGACGTTAGCAATACCGTTTGGAAATTCTCACATGGCAAAGACTAATACCTAAAGTCAAATATCTATCTTATAATGTGCGGCCGTTCACTTAATCTCATAAACTTTCTTAGAAATACATGCTGTTAAAGTCTATAATAAATCCTATTTAACTAACGTCAAAAGGACGTTATAGATCTGCGACGGCTTCTCTACAAGAATTATTCGATGTGAGTTATCTGAATCTGCTACAGGTGTACCGACAGCAGTTGCACACGTCAACTGATGAATCTAAAGCACATCTATTGATATGTACAGACAATTCACTAAACGCTAGGACTTAACAAGAAGGACTTTTGTTCAAAATTCACCTTGAAAACCGTAGAGCGCGCCTTTCATTCTTCAACGTCCAATTTCCGGCAAATTCTCACTCTAAAAATAAAGATAACTAATAGGTTGAACAGTGTTTATGAATCCCATAATATTGTTGTATTCACATATTCTTGGAGATTTTCAACAGTGGCTTGAATTAGAGGGAATAATATCGTATCACAATAATAAACTACGCTTGATAGGACATATATACAAAGTAGAACACAATACCATTGACCAAATTTTGTTCTAATTGTTAGTAATGGAAATTTTTGAACTATAATTCAAAGGAAGGGCCAGTGTTTACCTAAGCTGCATCGGTTCTGAAGTCGATTTCACCAGACTTTTCCCATTAGTTATTTATACTTAACACTTAGCGTTGACACATTCAAACTTACTCGCTACTTATTGTAGCGACCAACAAGTTACGTGTAGTAATAATGATTTGCAAGAACGATGAAAAGTATTCATGAGTGACCCGATAATCATAATCGGGAACGCAACTTTTACGTTACTGCATAAAATAAAATATTGTACGTAGCAAGATGTAAAATTACTGTTAAATCAAGCCTAAAACACGTGAAATAGTCGCTTAAAATTCGATTTTGGCATCATCAAGTAGAAACGATGGTATCATAGAACCCATTTTGGTATGTCTCTACACAATATGTTTGGAAATATTTTCGTGTGTATTTCTTTAAATTATTAATACTGTGTTCTTTCTTTCTATCTACTGTTTTTGACTGTACTGACACATTTCTTCTATCTATTTGGGTTTACTTGCAATAATTATTACTATACAGACTAAATATAAGAACTTTAGTTCAAATTTGAACGAACAGTTTCACAGTATTTGAACGCCGATTTAGTGTGGGATATTTAGCAAGAATAATGTATTTCTAAAGTTTTAGAGGTTGAATTTTAAGTAAATCGTTTACATTTAACGAAACACAAGACAGCGAAGCAATATACACTACAGTTGATGCCAGTTGGTGAATGAAAATTCCAATCTCTTAACAACTGCTTTAAGTATTTAATTCTAACTAGAAGTCATATAAGGGCAATGAAAACCTATTTCTACCATTCTGAGTGTTCGAGATGAATACCCTATGTCCATTGTAAGGAGTTTATATAGTTATATGTTAGATTTACAAACAAATAACCTGAGGAAGACATCAATTTACTTACTGTTTGCATAAAACTGGTTCATACTTCACGATTTTATTGTATGCTAAAGTGGTATTGGTTCCTAACCACACAATCTTTGGAGCTGAACATACGATGACTGAGAAGATTTATATCAAACGCTTAACACTTGGAGAAGGTCAGATATAGTGAACTCAAAAAGACATGCGGGAGTAGTCACTCCGTATTCTTTCTTCCATCTCATGTTAAGTTTATAACTCTATCCCAAAACTCAAAAGAATTCATCAAAAGTCTTGGACAGCATATTGCAGACTGTAACGACAGGACGAGTCAATAAAGATGATGGTGTGACTTCCACATAGGATCTGGCCTATTCGAATAAATTTTGGTTTGTCAGTCCTGCATTCAAACCGAATAGTCGCAATTCGGTCGTTACAGCTTAGTTGTATGTTTTCATTGACTTCACATTTCCAATAATCTTACTTGAGTAATTCATTTGTAAATCCATGTTGTAAATTACTGACCATACCACAAAGGTAACGTGAACATGCTGTCAAAAATAAATTATAATTAACATCGTAGCTACCGAAATACCAGTATTCGGGGTAGGTGCAGAACTAATGAACTAAAGTTTATTCGATTAGGCCAGACCACATTCTTCCGTATAGCATACGAATCGTTTTTGAGTGACTCGTATTAAATCATATCGGAGCACAAACCCTGCGTTCAATTTAAACGGTTCTAATTTAGAAAAGAACAAATTATATCAAAAGTACAAAATACCGCAAACGGTATAGCCTGTGTTATATATTCAAAGCTTTCTCTAGCACAAACTAACATACCAGACGACAGAAGGAATAGTTATTAAGCAAAGGTTAGATACCTGATAATCCATAAATATATTCTTAACACAGTGGAATCAGAGATCTATCTGCGAGCATTCCGGTAACTTTTTCAAGCAGACTGTCAGAGGTTAATAGTCATACACTGAAACACGCCGTGACCCTGAGTTTAGTCAAACACGACCTTATTGTCAGTGGTCCTTCCTGGTAACATGATAGCTACTTGTTTCAGTGAGAGCATTGCTCCAAGACGAAACTATCAATTTCAAATCAATAAATGTCGGGTTCCAAAAAATTCTCAGTATCAGCAGGAATAGTGCGGATGAATTGATGAACTGCCTTTATTGGACGTCACAGCGGACCCAAAGCAGTTTCTTAACACCGAGATTTGTGTGCGGAGAAATCATATGGTTGGCGATATTTATGAACACTTGGATAATGTAATTTTTTTGTAATCTTTTTTACAAAACAACAGTGAAGCGACTGGAATCATTTCTTTAAGCGAACACAAGTATTCATGATAACTTCGTGGTGACTTTCAGCTTAGTGATTATTCTTCGTTTTTCTTGGCTTGTGGAAAAGGTGAATTCGAGTGTTGTAAAAAAGTAATACAGGCCAAGAACTAGGTGTTTGTTACTTAATTAAGAGCTATAGTACTTATTCGTCAATAATTGTGACTCTGTCTCGCCTAGTTACAACTGCTCTCCACATAGACTCATTCGAAAGAGGATAAGCAAACCGAGTCTGTAGCCCATGTTTTATCCCCAGTAAAATACAGATCCCACCTAACGTATGTAGTAATATGACTAATCCCATTTGTATAGCAGTGGTATTAGTAGGCCAGACACGTATCCAATACATTAAAATTAACAGACAAACTGTGAGCGTAAAATGAGTGTCTGAAACATCAACTCCAAGTACGATACCTAGAATTGGTTTCAGTGTTATTTAGATAGACAATGAATAAGCCAAGCAATAAACAGGCATTTTACAGGAAAATTTAAGACATTTGGCCGATTGAAAGCTGTTGTGTTGGATAATAATTTCACCGTTCTTGCATATATTTATATTACTCAACTTCCAAACCTGTTTGTTTACATCTCCGACTTCGTAAATTTTGGTTTCACTCTGTGATTGTTCTGATATTTGGAAGTTCTTGCTCCGGAAATGTAAACAAATAAAGGTTGGCTTCGTAATCGTTAGATTTATTATTAAAACGAGCTTTTGTTTAATTAATTGTAATTTACGAAGATATTAAGGTCCCTTGAAAGCGAAAATAGTTCACTTGAGCTTCGAAACGAATTCACAATAATGGAGAGTTGGGCAGCAGACAATTGGTTAAATTTAACTGGTCAAAATATCTGGCCATGAACACTCAGACCCGTTGGACACAAACAACTTAAATTCCCATGAAAACCCGCTCTCGACTGTCTTCTCAGAGTACGACCTAGGTATGATAAATACAGAGTTTGGAAACCAGCTGAGTATACATTCGAGATGTAGTCAAAGAAACGCAACTCTTCACTTTATGCCTATAAAACATAATACATTTACCCTGAGTTGTTTCTAGCACTGCTCAGAACTTACTAACGCCCTCTCCTTGAAGTCCACAACGTAGTTCCTCCTACTCTCTCCAAAAAGGACGTATATATCTTGGACCACGTACAGAAACAGGCAACTTAGTGGGTTATAAGGCGAATGAACAAATCCTACGTAGTTAAACTCAAGCAAATGGGATTGTTGTAAATGAGCAGTAGAAAAATTGGGGATTACCTGATCACGATTTACAACATATAACGTACACCAAGGTTCTCCACCATGAATCCCATCGGGGCAATACCAGAAAATCGTACGTCAAAGAGCAAAAACACGGGTACGCTCCTACCTGTCATTAACCGTTCTCCTTACTTGGAATGAGCTCCCAGCAGAAGTGACCGCAGATATTTCAGTCAATAGCTCCAAAATAAAATTTAACAAACAAGTACTAACTAGTATATTACTATCCCATGCTTGGACTAGCTGTGACTGACTCATGTGTCGTAACTTACTGTCACTGTGGAATGTGCTACTTATATTGATGTAAGTAGTATATTATGCGAGTCAGGAACCCAATGTCTGGCAGCAGAAGATGAGGGGAAGATCAGGAAAAGAAGAGCGAGAACACGATGGGATTTGTTAGAAAACGCATGAGCAGTCGAATGGGAGACAATGGATTGGTGTTTGTAACAGAAACAGTCCAGTTTGATATGATGCATTAATATTTCGCAAATTGACGAGTTACTATATGGTATTCAGATTTTATTGAAACAGTCTGTAACTTTCGTGTTAAATACATTCGATTGTCCCCACCCGTGTTCTTGTTCACTACATCACCATCATTACATATATTTACTCACATATTTAGTTCTTGAAACTGTAGTGACTTACTTTTATCAAGAGAACGCGATTCGTCCAATAGAAACACTTATTATTATAACCAATTGTACCAGTGATTGTTTTATTGTGCTTGTTTGTTTAACTGTACTAAAGGCGTCAATTATTCTTCCGTTGACCATGGCCTCGTACGCTCGTAATTTCGCCCATTGACTCCGCCTGTATTTCGTTTGGCACGATCTCTGTATACTTTCGATACCGCAAGATAGCCAATGACTAAGTCTTGTTACAACCTTCATTCACCTTCTGTTTTTCTGGTACGTGTTCTTCTTGCAGCAGTGCTCATAGTCAACCGCGACTCGACTCCACACTAAAACACAGTTGCCGTCTATTAGCATTCGAATTTTCTATTTATTAATTTTCACATCGCTGCAAACTAGGCTTCTGCCTGGTAATGTGATAGATGCTGGTACTCAGAATCCGTATTGACCTGAGACAAGTGAACTCACCTCGTTTACAAGATATGCAAACAAAACCGACAAGAATTAAAGCAGTCGAGTGACTGGTTTACCGCACTCGAAACATTCAAAAAGTTTGAATTTCCGTATAACAGCAAGCGGTAAGTTCACAGAAATCAACCGTTTTATATAAGCCAGTCACACAGATTTTGTGCTTGTTGTGATTGC